GACCGTCAAAAGTCATAGGTTTGATAAGGATCAGAAGTACTTACAGTAGCACCAAAAACATAGGAGCCACACACAGCAATGAAGGTACTGAACACTAGAACAGCTGTGGCGGAGCTGCCACCTTTAAGGCTTTCCGCGCTGTTGGTTTCTTCAGCAAGCAGAGAACTGTTCAGCTGTCCTCTGCTTTCTCTCTCCATGTGTTCTTGGAAGAAAACCAAAAAACAGAGAGAATGGGAAGTGATGGAAAATTCAAGTCATGAGCCACTCTATAGACAGAACCATCACGGTCGTTGTACTGTGTTTTCTGAAGGTTTACCCACGTGGCCAACCATTGGTCAAACTCAGAAGTGAGAACTATGGTTTCAGAGATGGTGCGGGAACCCATCAAATCTTCTCCTTTAATGTATCAAGGTCTCATTTAGAACCTTTCGATTTAGCTATTAAAGAACTACTAGTTTTTTTTGCACCAAACCATTCGGATCAAGTGACAATAGGCACTTTATGTGCATTTTCCCCACTCTCTGGTTTGGATTCGACTCAGTCCTTTGTAAAAACTGTTTACAAAAAAGAACTATTATTTTTTTTTTCTAACATATTTTATAAGGTACGGATTTCAAAACTGACCCGAAAAAAAATGCTAACTAATGCTATTAGATTTCAAGGATAAGGTGCATTAAAGAACTACTAATTGATAGCAATAATTGTTAATATTATATATAATTTAAATATTTTTATTTATAGAATAAAAGCTAACATATTATTAGCTTAAATTTTTCTTCAATGATTTCAAGAGTTATATTTAAAAACTTTAATTTTATATTTTAAATTCATATTAGATAGCACAACAATGAAGATAAAAAAAAAAAAAAAATTCATACGAGACGGACTTGAAACTCTTATTTATTTTGAACTAATTTTATTTTTCTTGATTTAACTTCAGTTAAAAAAAATTTTATTTTTCTTGGCTCTCCTTTTCTGCTTCTTTACCCAACATGTCTTGTCAACCTTTATGACGAGCTGATATAGATTTTGAAATGTTGACAGTAGACAGCCGACAGTGGAATGCTAATAAAGGCATGTTTGGATGAACTATTAAAAATTTCAATTTTTAGATATTATACATGTTTTATAAATTTAAATTTTTTTAAAAAAAATTAATATTATTAAATATTTTTTTAATTTAAAAAAACTCTTAAATAAGAAAAATTTAAAAATTTTAAATCTAAATTTTTTATAAACTCTTTTTTTATTTTTTTTTTACTCACTTTTTTATCTCTAAAATAAAAACTTTATTTTTTTTCAATAAAAATTTAAATTTATCACTCATAACCATACCCAAAGCAAAAACTCTTGCAAATCACACTATACAAGCTCTAAATAGCATACATCTTCTCCAGAACAAAAAATACGGTACACAAAGGAACCTCAATCACATCTCTGTCAGTATGCTCCAGTTAGTATCATGGACATGCTGCGAACCTTCAGATGAGAGCTTTAGCAAAACAGAATCAACCTTTTTTTACAATCATGGCGAAGTTCCACAATTTTCATTGCCATTTGTTTTATTATTTAATGGGTTAATTACTGCTTGAATTTCTTCCAGTGTTCGTCCCTTTGTCTCTGGGACTATCTTTGCAACAAATAGAACAGTTAAGCCACCAATGCTTGCGAAAATGAAAAATGTTCCTGAAATGATGAATGGCAAAATCTCAAATCTTATCTTAAAATAGTCTGTGTGAGAATATTGTGTGTGCAGCCCTGTGCGGCTGTCCATGAGAACAAGAGATATACAGAAAGTGGAAATTAAGGAAAAACCTGCAGAGTTCCAGTCCATTAGGAAGTTAAAAACATATGTGGTAATCCATGAACTGAGCCAGTTGACCACGGAGGCAAGGCTTCCAGCTGAACCCTTGATATTCATGGGAAATATCTGAAACATCAGATCAACATTTAGTCCAATTTCATTATTCTTGTAATGATTGCGATGTATTTGCAGTTTATGTTTCCACAAAGTTCACTAACCTCTGACATTATCAGCCATGGTATTCCCGCTAGTCCTAATCCAAAGGACGCATTGAACATCTATGAAAATTAAATGTATATTAATAACATTTATTTATCAACCCCTCCTAAAAAAACTAGCATTATATATCAAATACGAGAATCATGAACTCAGTAACTTCTTCATGATCCTACATGCATCAGTGGATGCATATGTTCTGAAGCAAAAGAAAGAAATAAATCTCAGCTTCAATTGTAATTACCAGTATTCCAACAAAAACCAGTCCCGGAGTCAGTTCTTTACACCACTGAAGGTCCTGGTCATGGTGTTAGCTTATTAGGAAAAAACATGAGGTAAGAAAATGTTAATGTTGTAAGAGAGATGTCAGGATTTGATAAGAAGCAATCTAAAGAAACCTGCAACGAGAATGACAAGCCGACTAACAGGCAGCCAAGACATGTTCCAGATGCAGAAACCTGTAATGAATAGTTGAAATTCAGCTTTTTTGCATTTTCTTTGAACAGAAACATAACATTAAAAATAACACCCTTGTAATCTTTACCAATAAAAGTGGTCTTCTTCCTGCTTTATCCATTAAGAGTGCACCTAAGATGGTCGTTGGAATCTGTAAAGAAATGGAAACTCAGCGTGACTCTTGACTCACATTGAGAAAACCAGAAAGAAAATCTAGTATTTTGGTCTTTGTAAGTTAACAACCTGAACAACAGCCATTACTATAGTTCCAACTGTGGTTGAGAAACCTGCCACAAACAAGACATCAGACTTCACCATCATATATCCCTTTTAGTGTTCATAATTATATTCGATATATATGATGAAATACATAAGTATCATAATCTACCAGCTTTTTTGAATATTGAGCTTGCGTAAAATACAATTGCATTATAACCTCCTATTTGTGGGAGTAACAACAGCCCAAATCCAATCTGAAATATCAAAGGATGAGAAGTTAAAGGACTGCTGATGAAAAAAAAATGTAGGGTAAGATCAGAGTATGGAAAACTAACAATGAGTGCCCGAGCGTACATCCTTTGGAACAATTCCAGAAATCTATCCTCTGGTAGCTGTTGAAGGGCTTCTATGTAATCCTAAGATCCAATGAGCCCAGTTTATCTTCATTCAATGCCAAAATCTAAACTGAAAAATTGAAAATTCCAGTTCTTAGAAGGTGACCTCAATTTCAGTAGCTTCTTGGGATATATCAGCATTGACTCCTCGAAGGTGTTGTAAAGCACTTTCACACTCTTTATGTCTTCCAACTTTTGCCTGCAGGGAAATTACAATTACATTTTCAGGTAGATTGAGATTTATGAATAATTAACAATAACATGAACCTCTCTCATTGAAAAATGAAATAGGTATTGAATCCTTCTTACCAGCCATCTTGGAGACTCCGGAATAAAGAAGAGTCCCAGCAGTTGTACCAGACACGGAATAGTTCCTGCATGTATAAATAAATAGAGAACCTGTGCATAAACCTACTATGTACAATGCAAAATGGGTTAATGGAATAAACCAGACAGTGTAATTCACCTATAAGTGCCAAGATACGCCAAGAGACGACAACTCCTATGAAATATGTCATGGCTGAGCCAAGGGCTATCATGAACTGTAATACATTGGCAGTAATTTATGCAGGGAAAAGAGCTTTAGTCTCAAGTACAGGCCAGAATTAACTTTGCTTTACCTGTAGGAGACTTGCAAAGCTTCCTCTAAGATTCTTAGGAGTAATTTCTGCTATATATACTGGTACCTATTGGGTAAATGGGGACATAAACATCGTTACAAGTGAAAAACCATGAAATGTAGTAACAGTGAATTCTTGACAGTATTTACCACATAAGAAAGAACTCCAACCCCACATCCAGTTAACAGTCTTCCGAAATCAAGCAACCATGCAGCCTTCCATTAAACATTAAGAAAGTAGTAAAACAGGAACAATTAGTCTAGGGAATAGTCTAATCTAATTTCATTTCCATAAAAAGAACAATGAGGTACAAATCCTAATGTTAATCTTCTTAAATTTGCATTTTAGCACCCTTGTTGAACTCTAACTGAGATCTAGAATGCACATGAATGGAATTTGCTACAGAAAATTAATTAAAAAAACCCGAGTTGTTAAGAAAAGAAACATATAGAACCTGTGAGAATGCGATTGCAAGCCACCCTACAGTGCAGAATGCTTCTGAAATCCCCATTGCCTGCATTGAAGTATAATTGGAATTCAGAATACACTGACTATCTAATCAAACAAAAATTTCAAAAGACTGAACATACACGGAAGGGGTTTTGATTAACTTACACCTTTCCTGCCGACAAAATCTGCAGTCTTTCCACTCATGAGCGCACCCAACATTGCTCCAATTGTCATAATGGAGCCAAAAACTGAGTACTGAATCAAGAGATAGTAATATAAATTAAAAACTATATGAAGAAGACAAACACTAAAAATTTGAGTGAAAATTATAACCTCTCCAATAGAAAGACCTAGGTCATCCATGATTCCAGTCTCAGCAGGGGATGAATATCCAATCTGCAATTGTATGTCAGACTCCAATGATTCCAATTAAGGTACTAAAATCTGAAACAACTCAGGATTCAAAAGCAGAAGAAAGTCAAAAATCATGAGTTTGAAGAGGATTGAATTACTTACTGTAGCACCAAAAACATAGGAGCCGCATACAGCGATGAAGGTACTGAACACTAGCACAACTGTGGCAGAGCCACCCCCATCTAGGCCTTCTCTCTTGTGGTTTTCTTGAGCAAGAAGAGACGCACTCAAGCTTCTTGTACTTTCTCCTTCCATATCTTCTCAGGTAACTAACAGAGAGACAGGAATGGGACAGGCAGTCTCGGAAATCAAGGACATCAAGCTTAAATGCTAGTAGTTATGAGTTATCTGCCAAGGAGAATCATGGTCATTGTACTGGGTGGGCGTGAGTGAAGGCTTATATCCACGTGAGCAACCATTGTTTTTTAGTCAACAACCATTAGTCAAACACGAAACCCTCCTTTTTAGGACAATGGTCCCATAATTGCGGGTTTTTTTGGTGAGGGGTTTTTTTTTTTTTTTT